ACTGAGACACAATATGCTGAGTGGAAAATGTGCAACTGTTCAACATAATTCTCAACAACCCTCCCCCCTGCCCCGCCCCATATTTTAAAAGTAACATTACCCCCCGCCCCCCAGACAAAATTACATACAACCTCACGACATCCTTGGAAAGTACATATTGTTCTGGCCTTAAAATATTTAGAGATCAAGACATTGATATTTCAGTTTCAAACCCTGACGGACTTCACTCTGACGGGAACAGCCCGTGGCTGTCCGATCAGCTTCCGGGAAACTTGTTTCCAGCTCCTTCACAGTGTGGGGGTCTCTGAGGCTCTCTGAGGGCAGGAATGGGGACGGGGGGCAGTGCCAGGAAGGATGTTGGCGGTAGCTGAAAGCGAAGGCCAACGGCTTGGAAGGCCGTGCTTGCCGGGATGCTACGTGCCATGCAGAATCCGTCTGTTCCTCAGTCTCAGTTAACGGGGTCCTTGCCCCCGAGGACCTGGGTCTGGTCCTTGGTTCAGGCCCACACAGCCCCCTGTGCAGGTGCTCCCAGGTGATTCTGCTTTTCTGAGCTCAGCCCACAGAATTACACTTTCTGCCTGAGCTTGAAAATAGCTCCTGATTCTCTCCGAGAAGTGATGTCACGGGATCTCTTCTGTTGCCTGTTGCTGTTTTCCAGGACAAATGTTCATTCCCCACCCCCCGCCCCCCACCAATCCCTCTTCACCTCCACTTTCTTTTTCCTTCTTGAGCTAATGGGTCCTAAACTCCAGGTGTCTGAGAGAATGTGGAGGTCTCCAAGGACTAGAAGCTTGGGAGTCCCAGACACCCCAAATCTCTAGGAGCAACCCTCTTGGTGGGGTACACTTTAAGACCACACCCTCCTAAGCCTCCTGTCAGGGTCTCACGGCCTGCCCTGATAGTTAGAGTCACTGCATTTTCCCTGAGAACATTCTAAATGGCTCATATAGAAAGGGCCGGGGAGTTGGGGAGAGAAAGAGCGTTGCTGGGGCTGAGACTGTGTGCAGAGCCGGGCTGATTCCCCACAAATGGTTCCCTGAGCATCACTGGGTACAGCACTGGAGGCTCCAGCACTGTCAGCGTGGCCTGAGGTCCCCCAGCGCTTTGGGGCCCCAGCAGCATTGTATCCTCAAGTCTTAGAACAGGACCAATGTCCCAGTTAGCTGGTGAGACCCCCAGATCTCCTGAGCATCGCTTGGGAGCATCCGCTAAAGAGTAACGTAGAGGCCACTGGAAAATTTTTATGTTGAGGTAAGATTTGCTAATAGGGTTTCAACTGAGCCAAATTTTGTTACAAAAAATTGAAAAATTTTATTATGTTATTCATGGGTCACACCCAGTCATGATGGGGGGTTGGTCCTGGCAGTGCTCAAGGGCTGGGGATCAAAGCAGGGGTTGCTACTCGCAAAGTAGACCAGCCATCTCCCCCGCTCCAATTTTTTGTGCTTTTAAGCATTTCTCTTTGCAAAAGAAATCTGAGGTCATTTTCCATCTGGGCCACTGAGTCTGGGCCCAGCAGAATGCTCAGTGCTGCATTTAAAAGGTGAGAAATCTTGTCACCGACAAAGTCAGAAGCTGAGTCAGGAACAGCTCAGAATAATGAATAACGAAGCATAAAATTAGCTGGCAGATCCGTGTCAAGGCAACTATCATTTTTGGAGAGAAAGTTAAGGCATCTAAAGATGGGTGGGTTATTCATTCTCTCACCCCAGTTCCCTCCGCCCCCGTTATGCAGTCACCCCCATTATTTAACCCCTGCCCCCGTCCCCCTTCACCTCCACTATGGGGAGGGGGGCGGAATATACACACCCCCATCTGATTCTCTGCCAGCAGAAACCTCTCCACTTCAAACAGCCAGGGGACATTTGCAGAGCCGACCTCATCCCAGTGATGTCGTGAGACTCCCAGGATTGTTCTAGGTGCTTGCCCAGCCCTGGTTGGTGACCTCCGAGTGGTGACAGGAAGTCTGTCTTGTAAGAGGGGATTTGAGTGGGGAAGCCGCTGTGCTGCTGAGGTGGCCAGAGCCTCCCTAGGGGGTCAGATGGGGCTCGGGGAGCCCCCACCCCTTCTCTATAGCAGCTCACTCAGTTTCTCCTTCACCTTCTGCCCTTACACTCAACACGGGGGTGGCCAGGGGCGTTTCTTCTTCCAAGGGGTGCCCCTAGGAGAAAGCAATGACCTGGGCCGAGGCGAGGACTGCAGACCACCTGGTTCAGCTGAAACGCTTAAGGACATGGGGTTCACACCCGCGTTTTCGCTCTGCTCCAGGTGAGCGTCAATCCAGACTAAGAACGCGATGAGGTAAGTGGGCTCCGAGCCGCCCCTCCACTTAGGAAACTGGACTCTGATGTTCTGAAATAAAATTTCAGAAGATGAGGCATTGCCTGGTGATTTCACTGGGCCTGGGACACACGGGGATCAAGCCTCCGGGACATCAGTAGTTGAGGACTGGGCTTATTCTCATAAGGGGTGAGACTTGATCTTTTGGACAAAGACTCCTTGGCTGGGAAAGCCAGCTCTGCGGGCTTGCCCTCCTACTCAGCTATCCCCTGAGGAGTGGATGGCACATGTGACCATTCAAGAACAGAATGTGCTGGTGGAGTGCGGGGGGATGGCACAGTGGGTAGGGCACTGGCCTGGCATATGGTCAACCTGGGTTCGATCCCTGGCACTGCAAATGGTCCCCTGAATCCTACCAGGGGTGATCCCTGAGCACAGATCCAGGAGTAAGTCCTGCGCACTGCTGGGTGTGGCCCCTCCCTGGCCTCCTCCTCCCCGCAAAAACAAAAAACAAAGAATCAAATGGGCTGATGGAGAACACTGCTGGGGCCCATCCCGGAGGGAATGGACCTAGGATTCTGAAAACAGTGATGCATAGCCAACGACAGGTTGACCTACCACTGTTCTTTCAGCTGAAACCTCAAACATGTTGGGACGGTTGCCATGGAATTTCACAAACTTTTGTTTCCTGAGACAGATGCCTTGTCACCAAGGAGGAAAGGCCATGTGTGCAGTCTGAGGCGGAACAGTTTCAATACTGGCAGCCCAGGAATGAGCTGGGTTGAGCTGAATGCACAGGCCCTTTTGAAGTTTCAAGGCAGATACACACGACACTCATCTACTTGGAATTTGGGGTCCTTGACTCCAGGAGAAGTGTTCATAAAGCTGAGTCTCAATTTGCAGAGAGGTTCCATGAAGTGATCCCCAGAAGCAGCATTGATGTTTTACCTAACATACGTTTTTAAAAAAAAAGAAAAAAGAAAAGAAGAAGAAGAAAAAGGCTTTGGCAAGTGGGTGCAGGTGCCAGTTTGTGTACACTTTAGGGTGAGATCAAAATACCTTCCTGTTTCTTGTTCCTCCCCACCATCCTCTTCACATTCACAACTCAGTGGTTAAAGGAAAATCTTACCCACCCTGCCCTTTTCACACCAAAGAAAGGTGAAACATTCATCTACACCCTCTCATGCTGGGTCCACGTGGACTCAGGGGTCCACAGCGGAGCTGTGGTGGCTGTCTTAGTGGACAGCTGGAAGGGACCTGACGAAAGGGCTCCAAGCACCGCTTGGGTCATGGCTGAGCAAGGTCTGAAGAGCGCCGTGGTTTTCCCCAAGTCACAGAGCAAAGCAGAGGTGAAGAGGAAATCAGCAGGCAGAGTCTGTGGCCCGTGTCGAGGTGCAGCGACCACAGTGCTGGCCCCATGCGGGGAGATATCCCCTCAGCTGTGTACGCCAGGTCGAGGGGACCTCCGGAAATCCTGGCGCAATAAGGCAGATCCATTTCAAAGTGGGGAGACCCAACTGGCCTGAGGGGTACTCCTTACCCCATCATGAAACTTACCTAACACTTAAGAGTGTCCAGTCCTAATTCTGTGAGGAGGGAGGAGGCTCAGCCTTACCTACAGATTTATAAACCTTTTGTTTTTGGGCCATCCTGGGCAGTGCTCAGGGCTTTCTCCTGGCTCTGAGCTTGAGGGATCACTTTTGGTGGGGCTCGAAGGAACCACATTGGGATGCTGGGGGTGGAATCAATGCCCCTCCCCCATCCCACTGCACTAGCTCTTGGGCGCCTCAGTCACACTTTTTATGTTCTTTGGTATTTGGAGGTTCAACACATCACTGGTGAGTCTGTTGGGGTCTGTGAGGGAAGAGTCCTTGAAGGGGACCAAGAGCAGGGTGGGCTGCACTGGTGTTGCTCATCACTTTGCTCTGGTCAGAGCCTGGCAGCAGAAGAGGACATCACTGGCCCTGGCAGACAATATTCTGGATTTCAGTTCCTAAAACCTTCGACCTTCTGCTGTGGGCTTTCTCCTAGGGAAGAGGGGTTGAACTCAAAGCAGCTTTCAAAGCAGTTTTGATGGAGCCAGGGGTGGGGGAGCCCTGGACTCCTGCCTCGGGGCTGTAAGGCTCTTGTGCTGACTCAGAGTGGGTTTGCTGGAGATGGAGAGCAAGGGATGGAGGCAGAAGGAACATCTGGTGACTTGGCTTTTCCCCTTTTTGCTTGTGTGACGAGAAATGGATCTGACGTGGGCATCTTCTCTCCAGTTATCTGAAAGTGGTGACTGTTTTTCTGGTGTTTACCCGTGTCGAATGCAGGGAGGGAAGTCTGTCCCATGAGTTCAGCTCTCCTCTCTGGACCTGGACCAAAAGCTGGGTGTTTGGTTGGGCTTCCGTATCTCAGAGAAACTCTCACGCAGAGCTGAACCCCAAACTCCCAGGAATGCCTGTTTCTATTGCAGCATGAGACACTGTTTCTATTGCAGCAGAGACTTCAGTGGCATCTAAATCTCATGAACGGAAGTCCCTCAGAGGCTGGGAACAAAGACATCACATGGCAATAACATGGTGTGTTGGCAAACAGAGACTGTGAGAACCTGACCCTGAGGGTGCTGTGGACTGACAGTGTGGAAATAGGGGTTTGGATGGAGCTTTTGTTTGGTGGTGCTTTTTTCACTGGGCTTCTTGGGTTTCTCACAAGCGGGCATGGAGGAGGGGGATCCGAGGTCCATTCACTTCATTGCGGCTCGGTGCTCCCCTCTGGTGATGTGAGAGGAGAACTCGTAGCGATCATGGCTCCGGTAGCCACAGATATTACACTCAAAGGGGTCACGGAAGCCGTGGCAGCCCATGTGGATGGTGAACATGACGCAATCCAGGAAGAGGACGCGGCAGTGGTCACAGCGGTACACATCCAGCACCTCGCCCTCTTTGTTGATCACTCTGATGGGGTCTCTGGGGCAGACGGGTGGGGGCTTGAGGAGTTCATAGGAGCGGGGGGCCTCCTTCAGCAGGGCCATGCCGTTGCGCGCCCTGGCTGGGACCATGGGGCTGTGCTGGTAGAGGGGGTGCGGGCGCTCTTCGTGGTTGCTGTCGGTGTCCGTGGAGTCGTGGCCACTGTGGTTGGGGGAGGGGCCTCGCTCGGAAGTCAGGCTCTTCTCTGTCAGGTGGATGTTCTTCTTCTCCAGCTCCTGGGGGGTGCCATTAGGCATCTCGGCCTGGGTGAGGGCCAGCGGGTACATGCTGCTGATAACGGGCACCATCTCAGGGGTGGCGGCAGGAGGGGTTTGGACGAGGGGGCGCAGGGCTTCGGCCCCCAGGTAGCTGATGGCGCTGTTGATGGCCTGGTCCATCATTCGTGTCTGGATGAGGTCACTCTCCTTCTCGTATGCGTAGCTGGAGTTGTAGTCAAAGCAGGGGCGCTTCTCACCTGCAACGACAGGGGAAGAGTCACAAAGGGACGGCACAAAGATGGAGGGTCCTGGAAGGGGGAGGAAGGAGCCTGGACAGGTGCCTGCACCCCCTCCACCCCGTACCTGTGCAGAAAATGCAAAGGCAAGTGAGCAGGCAAGACGGAGCAGGTGCCACGAGAGCCAGGGCACAGTGAGGGCAGTGCCCTGTTCCTGCGCTCCGGTGGCGAGACTGGGATGGGGGTGACAAGGAAGCCACGCTCTGCTCTCCGTCAACCCCTGCACCACGGCCAATCGCCAAACTCTTCCTTTCCTTGTTACCTTCTGCTCATAACACCACAGAGCTGGTGGAAAGTGGGGAGCACAGCCCCTGGTCTCAGCTGTTTTTTTCAATCCCTCTAGTAGGAAAAAACAGCTCCCACTCCACCCCCAACTCCAACTCCCGAGACACACCAGTCACCAGATCAACGGAGATTAAGTTCTAAAGTGACAAGTGGAGAATGTTCTAGAAAGGTTTCTTGATGAAAGATCATGATCTTTGATTCTTTCTTTCTTTCTTTCTTTCTTTCTTTCTTTCTTTCAGGTTTGCACACCTGGCAGTGCCCAGGGCTTACTCCTGGCTCTTTTCTCAGGGATCACTCCTGGCAGGGTCTAGGGGATCATATGGGGTGTGGGGGTAGATGAAGCCCAGGTCCACAGCATGCCAGATACAGTGAGCTACCCATTGTACTATTGCTCTAGTCCCAACCCAATAAATGTGTTTTTAAAAGAAATTTTGTACCACTGACACAAATGGAAATTCAGAATCACTTGCCACAGAGAAGGTACTAGGAAAAGATAATGAAACAAAGTGAGACATTAAGTTTGGTCAGATAGTACGGTGAGTATCTGGAGGACAAAGATTCTGTTTTCTGTGAAAAAATATTGTCAGTGCCAGGGAGGTAGCATAAAGAGGTAGAATGCATGCCTCACATACATGAGACCCTGTGTTCGATCCCCAGCACCCCATGGTCCCTGGAGCACTGCCTAGTGTGGCTCAGGTAACCTCTGAACACGACTGGTCCCAAATTCCTGCCCATCAGGTACTGGCTCGGGACAGATGGTGAGGCCCCCTGCCCAAAATAAAGGGTGTGAGAGATGACTGGTGTCAAATCCTAAAACCTTCTCCTTGGTATTTGGGAAACTGCAAATTTTTCTTTTTCTTTTTCTGGGGGGTTTGGACCATACTCAGTGATGCTCAGGGGTTATTCCTAGCTCTCTACTCAGGGATCACTCCTGGAGGTGCTCAGGAGACCATATGGGATGCTGGGGATTGAGCCTGAATCAGTCGTGTGCAGGCAAGTGCCCTACCTGCTGTACTATTATTCTGTCCCAGGAAATGAATTTTCTTTCTGTGTGGATCCAAGTTTCCAAATGACCCCTGGGCCTCCTGGCACTCTGCATCCCACATTTTGGAGATAGTAAAAGAGAAACCCTGATAGAATTGACTGATGGTCCTAAGAAGGCCCCGGAACAGGGCTGGGATTTGAAGCGTCAGTGTGAATACCCTTGATTAAGAGAGGCTTGAGGTGAAAATGGCGTTTTCTTTGCTGGTTTTGGGGGTAGTGTTGGGGTGCTACTCTCAGCACACTGCTGGGGATGGCTCCTGGTGATGGTCCTAAGGGTCCAAGGGGCTGAACCTAGGCCTCCCGCACACAGAGCATGTGCTCCGGTCCTTGGAATCCTTTCCCCAGGGCCCACAAAATGTTATTTTCAGAACATCGACCTTAAGGGAGGTGGGATGAGATCAGGAAGAAGTTAGAGCCGTAAAGATCAGCTTGAAGGTTGCTCTAATCAGATGGACCAACCCTGCAACCACCGTCCCAAATACCCAGGGGAAATCTAGGCCAACAACGCAGGTTCTATATCCCAACGTAACAAACCTCTGAGCCCTCGTGCCTGGAAGGGGGACAGTGTGGAGGCCTGTGGCCCACAGACACTCCCCTGAAGGGACGCAGACTCCCCCAGTGTTGATCTTTCCAGGGTGACCTGCTCTACTCAACCCCTCCAATCACAGAGACCCCAGGATACTATGTTGTTAGTTAGTTTTGGGGCCACACCTCGTGGTGCTCAGGGCTTAACTCCTGCTTCTGCACTCAGGGATCCTAGTGGGCCTGGGGCACAGATAGGATGCTGGGGATCAAACCTGGGTTGGCCGTGTGCAAGGTAAGAACCCCACCCCCTTGTACTAGCCCCATCCTATCACTCCAATTCCCAATTCTTTTTTTTTTGTTGTTGTTGTTGGTTTGTTTTTGGGGGGCTATACCCAGCAGTGCTAAGGGATTACTTCTGGCAGTGCTGGGAGGACCATCTGGGTCAGCCACTGGCAAAGGAGACACCCTACCCCAGCTGTATCATCACTCCAACCCCCCCACCCCCCACCAATTCTTTCCCTCTCTTCATCCAGAAAGTGTCTGGGGTGGGGCAGACCTATCCCAGACTCTGCTTTGATCCTCTCACCCTCACCCCCGTCTGCTTTCCTTGCTACAAGTTCAGTGGGTGGGGTGCCCCTGTTGTGGGGAGCTCAGGTTCCCAAGAGGGAAACAGGCAGAGCAAAGGAGGCCCTGGATGGGAGGGAGTGTGAGGCTGAGCCCTGCGGTCCCCAGACCACTGTCCAGAGGAATGCAGGGCTTCATGGCCGCCAGCAGACCCCCTGAGCCCCAGTTACGGTAACCCAAAGTGGTGCAGATATTATCAGTCACCTGTAGACACGATGACTCAGTGCGTATGAAACTCAGAAGGGCTGAGCACCAGTCATCGAAAAGCCAACAGCTCACGTTTCTCCAGGGCCCCACTCAGAAGAGGGGTTCGGCAAACCACAAGTGCGTAACTGCTCCCGGGGCGGCACGGGCCTGAGTCGGGCTTCGAGTCAGAACCGGCCCACAGGGCTGCAGCGGGGCCATCCCTGCCTGGATCTGCTCAGAGGGAGGCTGAGGGGGCTGGGAGCTGAGCCGCAGCACAGCCCAAGCTGCTACCGTTGGCCCGTGTCTATGTCTCTCTTGGTGCCTGCCAGGTGTGACGAAATCACAGCCAAGAGCTCAGGGGGGTCAGGCCTGACGGTGGACGTGAACCTCTGCTTTCAGGTCAAAAGAAAAGACCCGCCACCTTAGCCTGGCATTTCTTGTCTTTCTACTTCTCAGTCCTTACCACCGGGCCTGCCGCAGTATACTAAGAATAATTACACTTAAAATTAATCTTTTTTTTTTTTTTTTTTTTTTGGCGTTTTGGGGCCATATCCGGTGGTGCTCAGAGTTTATTCCTGGCTCTATGCTCAGGGATCATTCCCGGCAGTGCTCAGGGGGCTTTAGGTGGTAGTGGGGATCTAATGCTGCGTGGAGACTCTCCAGTTCTCCCCTCTGACCCCCGCCCCACAGTTACTGAGCCCCTGTGATCGGCCTGGTGCTATCCCATTACATTAACTTATCTCCTTACGTTAACTAAGATGAACTGTCATCTCTTGGTGAGATGAAACTCGCAAGGACAAGCAAACTGATGAACTTGCGTGGGACATGGGACACCCGCTTAGAGAGGAGGACAGGATGCAATCCCAGGGCCCCTCCAGCTCAGCATAGGTTTGACTACGAGTTGCAGTTCTCTGGCTGCTACTTCATCTGTGGTTGCACAATCCTACCTCTAGCCGGGCTTCAGAGGCTCTGCTGGGATGGATCTCAGACACAGAGAAAAGCAACGGTGCTTTGTTCTATTATATATTCAATAAAGAGCCATATACTAGACTTTTTTTTGGGGGGTGGGGGGCCTGGGCTACACCCAGTGGTGCCCAGGGCTCACTCCTTGCTCTGTGCTCAGGGATCCCTCTTGGTGGGGGATGGAACTGAGCGTCTGGGCACGTGCAAGGCGAGCACTTTGCCTGCTGTGCCATCTCTCCGATGATGCTGTAGAGTTCTTACAATGTCTAGAGTGTGTGTAGCACACAAAGGTGCTTCAGTAAGTGTCAGGCTGATTACGAGTCCACGCTTCACAGTGCTGTGAATATGACAGATTTATAATCCAGTAGGAGAAGCTGCACTGACACAATCTCACTCCACACCAGGTGGTGGAACCAAGTACAGAGACGCCAAGGCAGTGCAGAGAACAAAATGTGATCGCCTCTTCAAGAGGCCCCGCGTGGCACAGGGCGGGCATCTGTTCTTTTCTCTCCAGTCTCCTTGGAATGGGGTGGAGGTGGCAATGGCGGGGAACAGCGTTGGCGATGTCACAAAAAAGCCTCACACTTGCCTCGTGTGCAGAGAGAGCACTGAGCAGCGAGCACTCAGGAGGGAAGTGTGCCTGGCAAGCATGGAGGGAGCCCTGACACAGAAGGGGGTACGCCTTGTGGCTGCACAGAAGGGTCAGTGGGGTAAATGAGACTCTGTAAGAGGTAAGTAGGCATGGGGAAAGGCTCAGGGTGCCTGGAGGAGGCGGAGATGGATTTTATTCCTGGGGGAGAGAAGCGCCCAATTCTAACACGGACGGACATCCTGAGGGGTGAGAGGAATGATTCAGCTTTGCTGAATCCAGTCTCTTCTCCGCGTGGCAAAGAATCTGCTGCTTCCTAGAATTTCCCATGTGTGGGAAGGCTCACTTTTACTGCAAGCACATATGAATAAAAATTATAAAGGCGAGTAAGTAGGTCAACAGAAGGCCAGCGATGGCTTTGCTGGGACCTTCATCCATCCCAATGCAGAGAGGGACCCGCCCTCCTCCCAGTGTGGGGGTACCCTGGAGACACACCGGGTGCCAATGGCCCTGCAGGAGGAAAGAAGCTCCTTGCTGCAGAAAACAGGCCCCAAACGAACTCAGCCACCTCCCCCAACCCCCCCACCCTTCCGGGGCTCTTCTGCCACCTGTTGTCAATCAATCACTAGGTTCCACCCAGCCCAAAGCCCCCGGATGTGCTCAGAGGTGGGGGGAGGCCTCAGGGCGGGCCAAAATTTGCTCCCTGCCAGCCCTGGGCCTCCCCGCCCCCCACCAGCTCTCCCTG